TCAGTTTCATCAAAATTAGTAGCTTCACTCACGGTTCTAGCTGTTTTCCCACCTCTGGAACCTCCTCTGGCTCCTTTTACCATTTTGATGTTGTTTGTTGTTTTTTTTTTGTTGTAGGCGATGTCTGAATCCGGCGCTGATGTAGTCTCGTTGGCGATGACTTGACGGAGATTCTCTGACGCACTTGATAAATTGATGCGGGATGAATTTAAAGGATTTAAAGTTAATTTTAGTATTAAAGATTGAAATTACACAACTTCTATTACTTTATTTCTTAACAAAACGAAACCGAACGGAAGCGAGGAAATTTTTAATTTTAACTTATTAAATTGGTTTTTTGATACGATATAATAGAAGATAGGCGTTTATTTAAAGATCTTTCTTTTTAATTTAAACCACGCTCTGCTACCAATTTTGTAGGGCAATCAGCCCTCAAAGAAACTCGAGAGTTAAAAAGAATAAAAATGCACAATCCGCCGGGGAATACGGCGTGAAGATTCTCGGTGGAATCTTCAAAAGGACAGGATAAATTATATTTTGAAATCAATAAATTGATAAAGAGTTCAGAAAACACAAGTCTCAGTAAGATAGATGCAAAATCACAAAATCAGAGCACAAAGCAAGATTCGCACATCCGAATGCTTCGAAGTTCGACAACGTAGTGTTGAACCGCGTGACAATAAAAAGAAAGGCAAAATTCGATTGCGCAATTCCGGCAGCGGGCACTTCCATTGGGATTTCCCGCTGTCGCATTCCTTGAATTCAAGTTTTTTGTATTGTTAAGTTACGTCTATTTTTCGGATTTTAACGAACGAGTTCTCTGTGTCTCACAACTTCGACCGCCACTTCACTCATGCTCAGGATGTATAAAATTATAAGATATGACATCATCACATCATGTTTTCCACACGAAAAAAGAACAAACATCATGCATATAATTCTAGCTAAAATACCGCAGTGTTTACAAAAGCGACTTAAAAGGCCTGAAATCCAGGAGAGGGTTCTTGAATCGGAATCAGTTTGTCTCATATGTAGAAATGTTTTCGAGTTGAATTTTCCCTAAATAGGTTTTCGAAGACGAGGAGATTTATTTATTAGCCTGGGCAGTCGAGGATTTATTCGCATAATTGTTTCTTTGGAAAAGTTTGTGTGGTATATTTCCAACAAACGTTCTATTTATCTATTAGGTCCTTATACATGCCTATGGGACTCTTAGGCCCAATCTGTCGTGTGTAAAATTAATGGGTTGCTTCTCCACCAATAATGCGTACATACAGTCTTTTTATTGATATGAATCCAAAACCCAAGTTTTGGGGATAGGGCTTACGTTCATTAATTAGTGGCTTTTCTACTGTAATTTCATTGTCAGTATAAGTCACAGTTCCGGGTAGCATTGTACTATGCAAGTGTGAATTGAGGTTAAGTTTGCGGTTGCTACCTAGGTATTAATTGAGATCATTCTTTGTTTTTGCCAGAACTGGGAACGCAATTATTTAGAAAAATATTTTAGGAAGATTTTCATCTGGTCAGTAACTTTGAATTTATCTGTTTTTCTCTATACGCCATATTGTGCAATCAAAAATTGAAGTAATAAATCGATGAAGCCATTTTTACATGATTGCGATCAAAAGAAGAATGTAAAAGTTATCAGGCTAAAACGATGAACGCTTTTTTTGCCACCTTACTTTTTTAAGCCTTTCAAAAATTATTTAGGATGTACTTCGATCATTTTCTTAGGAACGACTTCCATTTTCATGACAATTAAGGCCGTCGAATGATGATAAAAATCAGAATCGTTGAAATTTCTGAAAACAGAACAATTGGAACCACTATTCAAAATTTAATTGAACCCTGTGAGTATTCATTTTGATAGATTTACATTCTCAATATTGTCACTCTGGAAACTCACAAAATGTTGGGATCCATTCAGTGTCTTGTACTTGTACCTTCAAAACTGAAGAGAAATAGTCCACAGCTCTAAGAAAAATACGAATAAGTAAAGCATCTCATTGTGAACTGCTTTAACGCAACTTTCCAGGTCTGGAATTCTCGGGATTCGGTTTATAGAATCGCCAAACAGTCTGCTCTGGAAACTCTTCCGAAGGAGATAATTTGCTGCTGCCACGTCGGAGATTCCCACGAATCAGACTTTTATTTATCCTGGAAATACTCTTAGCGGAGCAGTGTGAGACTTACCGAATTTATGAAAGAAATTCCGTTTTCAAGGCTGCTCTTGTGTCAAGAATCGTAGAATAAGAGTGGTGGAGGGTGTAGAACATTCTCAAGAAAGAATTTGGGGCAGCATTTTTGAACACGCCCTTTCAATGAGAAAATTTCTGCAATATAAGATATTATTGTACAAGTAAGGCGCGTGGAAAGCAATGAACGAGAGTCAAAGAAATGTAAAAAAAAGAAGATTCAACAGTTACTACGTTTGGAAATCCATCAATGAATTGCTACACGAACTGTAGTTCACTTCAACCGTTCAGGTTTGATGATTCCTACCTGCTGAGGAAAAACTTTTAAAATAAAATAAAACCTAGTACAAGAGACATTGTGATGCCTTTGGCGGGTACACGAGAAATTTTGATTATTTTGAAAACAGTGGAGAAGGAAGTTTTGTGCATCATGAGATAGCATTGCTGTATTGTGAATTATTTTCACGTTACTGTAATCCTTTCACGGAAAATTAAATGGCTGTGAAACAGTCTTTATTCGTTACATTTATTTACGTAAATTTTTGCATTTCACTGCATCAGAAATAACTCAGGAGTCAGGACCAATGAATAAAAAAGAATACGTTGCCAAAAAGTCCAAAGCATTTTAGAAAGTTTAATTTTTTTTCGAATTTCTTTCTCCTTGCTTTTTTCTAGTGGTTTCAAGTATACGACATGAAGGAGCCACCCATACTATAATGTGACACTTGAAATAATAAAGTGCTCCGATGCAGCAATGTACTAAACTACGTCAAATATGCAATATTTTTCCGCAAATCGGACAAGAAGTACTCGTAGCACGCATGAATGGTACCGGACTCAAGACTGCTGTAATTAGTCTGGAGAACAATTGAATAGCCGTTAAAAATTCAACGTACAGTACATTATATAGCTTTCCTTAAATTTGTCTTCATTATCGCAGTGTCTGTGTTACACACGAGTGTGTGGTACCAGGTGTTGATAAATGGTGAGCCAAAATGTATAAAATTTCAAGCTTGTTTCTCCTGTATAGTTAAACCTGAAACTAAAGGTAAGAATAGCCAGGAAATTCTCTAATATGTTCGGAAGAAAACTGAATAGGCTTAATTTTGATATGGTCCAGTGTAAATGATTGAAACATTCAAAAGCTATCACAGCTTGGATATCCGTCAAATTATCCTTTTATTTGGTCAGCCCGTGTAAAATATTTTGGAAAGAGTTCTGCTATTTTAACGGGCAGAGAAACGCTGATTCAATGTATTAATCCTCATATATAAGCTTAAAATGATTCCGGCATATCTCAAAATACTTTATTTGAGTGAAAACAGCATCGTTATTTGACTTGTAAGCAGCCAATTCTGTAAATTAGGCATAATTCACTTCTTTCGACGCGACATAAACATTTCAACTGACCGATTCTTGCACTCAACAAAACAAGTATGTATTTTAAATCATTGGTGACAGGGAGCCATGGAATTCCTTTCATTCTCAACACTTGAAATATTTACTGGGGAAATTTAAAAAAATTATATGTGTTTATTTGTCATTTTAATTAAATATTTTCCTATTTCTGGCAGATAATGTTTCTTTTATGAAAATATTGATTGAATTCCTATTCATCACGCGCATAAATACCGAAGCTGAAGCCAGTCATTTCTTGGGTTATTGTGGCCTGAGATCATTTCAAAGCTAAACCCAAGTCTCGCAATCTCATCGCTGCTTATTTCTTGTTTCAATTTACTCGAGTTCATTGTATTGTCCCGGAAAGCAGGACTATACCTGCGTCAAAGAACCGCGAACCAGCAACTAGCAACTTCAGAGCAAGGCATTCCTCTCTTGCATCCCGACCCACACGCAGACTCACACACACACACACACACACACACACACTGCAGGGCACAAAAAGAAAACAAAAATGAAAAATATGTAAATCTCGTGGCGTCATTGGCATGAATTCGTTCTATCGGCGTTGATCAGAATTTCTGAAGCGTGAGAAGACGAAACAAAACTGCGGCCTTTTATTTTTCGAACCGCGTGACCCGTGTCGTCGTCGTCGTCGTCATGGATCGTGTTGCTAAAGTAACTTGCTTTTGAGGTTTGACACGCCACTTACACATCGTGTGATTCCGCTGGAAATCATCGCCATGCCAAAGAGGAAACCCCCCGGAATCTCTGATACTTGATATATCCAACGGAGTCGACTGAGAAACATTATCAGGCACTATATTTACACATGCCTGCATTTCTCAAATTTAAACCACCATTGCGTGATTGTCAAACTAATCCCTTTTTTTTTCTTTCCCCGCAAAATAGAATTAATGCTGCTATACTAAACGTCAAACGCATTTTCATGGCATTCAACTTCTATCAGAATCGAAGTGGTTTTTGTTGATCTTTTACTCGTTCATCAGATATACCCCTTCATCAAATGTCCTCGAAATATTTGAAAAAATTTTATCCCTAACGTCACCTGACAAAATAATGGGTATTCTTTGGTTAAATTTACCTTTTTTTGAGAGAGAGAGAGACCGTGTCTTAGATCAGAAGCAATTGTGAACTCAACCTGCCGATCTGACGCACCGTAATTTTACGAGTTCCATAAAAACAAATTTTTTTTATTTAGAAAATTTTGGGGTGTTCTGTGCACATCATATAGGCAGGTACAAGTACCTCAATACTTTCACATAATTTTCAATGCTGTTATTTTTATTATTTTTTAATCACCCATATCAAGAAAATATTTTATTAATACCAGTTACTGAAAATAATTAGTTCAATCTTTAATTTTGCCTATAGATTTGTATTCTTGTACAGTATGCGAAAGTTTTTTTTTCATCTCATTTTTTGGTAATGAAAAACGTGATTGCGCATTTTACTCGAGGATAATTTTTCGCAAATTTTCAGTGAAAAAATGTGTTTGTGCGTCTTGTGCGAGTTGGGGCGCTTGGTAAAACTGAAAGATTCCTACTGCTTCTCGAAAAATTCCAGTGAAATAGCATTTTACCCACCGCGTTGGCTTTTATTTTTATAAAATTAATTGGAATACATTTCCGATGAAAAACGATGTGAATATTTGAATTATAATCTAAGGTGAATTTTGCCTATTTATTCTGGTTTCACATTTTTTATTGGAATGGCTTCTATAACGAAATGAGACGACGTTTTTGATGAAAAACATTGATCAAATAAATGTCGGATATGCACTGCCTATACGGAATGGTTGGTATAGAGTGCTTTAATTATGGTATTCGTCAACTTATGTGCAGTCAACATCATTTTCGTAATTATTTTTTATTGAGATCCCAATTCTTTTTCAATTTAAAATTTCCAATCGTAATTCAAGGTTTTCCCACGATCTAAAAAACACTGTACATGATTTTGGTCAAATTCATCAATTAATTCGGGAGACCTTGGGGATCCAATTTTTTGAATTGCTGTGAATATTGCAGTGCAGAGTGTGGTGATTTGTAATGTATAAAAAGGATTTAACTTTGATGTCGTCCTGCACTCTTGAAGTATTCATCTTATTCGCTCTCACACGTAAATCAATAAGCCGATCTGCCTCACGATCGTTTGAATCTCATGGGCATTCCTTACGTTGACTTCGCGTGCTGCGACATAAGCACAATAACTGGTTTTTGGAGGCAGTAAATTATAATCTTTCATATCTTAATACGGTATACAGTTCAATTGCGAGCGAGTAAGCTTTTTTCAGTGTTGTGAAAAGTTGATCCCAGCTCGCCAGTGTGTCTCCAGCATTATTCTGCTTAGACTGACATCTGTCGTTCTTAGTCTTACTTTCCATATATGAAGAGACAGGTTTTTGGCCCAGGGGTCGGAGGAATCACGACCGCTGTTCAAGCTGCGCTCAATCGATTTTGCCGAAGATAATAATATTGTAGTTCAGCATAACCGAAGCGTTTTTTAAACGATGGTTGTGCAATATTTTATCTTTTCCCATCACTTCGTTATGCAGACATGTTCATGATATCTCTTATGATTTTCCGGCATTTTATCGCTGCGTAAAAAAATATTTTTCTGCTTTTCGAATGGTAAATTCTCAATACAACAGTTTTGTATCAAAAAAGGATGGACGTGTCCGGGTAGAATCAAAAATGAATTTAACTCTTGTGCCGAATGCGTGTTCGGAAAGAAAACACGATTCCTCCAAGAACATCAATGACATTTTTTCACGAATTTAAAGCACAGAAAATAACTGTGCAGAAGAAAACCACACATTATCTGACATTTGATGCATAAGGAAGTCCTAAGGCAGAAAATCGCACATATATTACAGTACTACTATTGAATTGTACATTTTACAAAGTTGAAGGAAATACCTTGAAATGAGAGGCTCAAAATAAACCCAATGTTGAAAATTAATCAGATTAAATTCATCAAAAGCTCTTTTTTATTATTTTATGACCATGGCAAAAAACTTACTTTGTTCGAAAGATAAGAACATTTCGGAAATTTTTTTTGGCTCTTCTGACAATTCTAGAAAAGTGTTCATGTGGAAAACATTTTCCAGATATTAGAGCAAATTTTTTGAGTTTAGAGTCTTCATAAGTTGAATTATCCTTAATATGTTCGGCCGGGTCGTATCCATACATTGGGGCAAAATCGCTCAAGTTTGTGCAATATCAACAAACTCTTTCTATAGGAATGAACTGTAAAGGGAAATGTCTTTCCGTGTTTTTGCACAATGACTCACGTTGATGCTGATCGTGATTCGCGTAAATAAATATAATTCGCGCATTCATGACTCAAATGGATATACAGTACTGTATATGCGTCTATCATCGCTATGAATGGCAGTGCCTTTAATGAGATATAGAAGATTTAATTGATGCCAAGTTGGGAAATATGTCCTATTTTTTCAAGAGCGGTATGATTTGGTTACAATAAAGCCTTTGGGGTCATCTGGAATAAAAACTTTTGGTATAATAAAAGATTTTTTGTCATTTTACTCGAAGCATAATAGCTCTTGATATTTACAGTATATAGGAGGGAGCAACAAATAAATGTGTCGGACCGATAATTGATTGTAATGAATGTCAGGGTAGCAAGTTTATATACTAAACTATACAGGTCCAGTCTTTTGTTTGCAACATGAGTCTATATCTATGTGTTCAGCGATTTCAATAAACTGAGCAGAATAAATAATACAAAATATGACACTTAGGAAATTTATGAGCTAGCGTGTAGCAACTATATAGGAGAGACAAATCATTAAAAGCTGCTTTCCTAAGAATGCAGACTGAGATTTAAAAAATAATGTCCATCCGAGAAGTAACAAAGATCGTGGAGGAATCGAAATCAAATCAGATTGAAGTTTCTCAATGTTAAATTGATTCAATATTAAATAAAGAGCATATTGAGGGATTTCTCCCTCGCGATTTTTCAATCATCGCGCGAGCTCATTCGTCGTATTTGTCAACAGTTTTTCATGAGTCCATCAAATCTGTTTCACATGAAATCGAATTTCAAAAGTTTCAAACCGCCCACCTTCCACATCTTAACCAAACTCAATCGCCATTTCCCGATCAAGTTTCTGATGGGTGTACGTAATGTCATCAGCCTTGATTTGAGATTCTTCACTTGGCCATCACTTTCTTCGATTGAAGAAAACTATGTACAGTATAGTCAAGTGATTAACTCCGAATTTGGCAGTCCATATTCAATTCATTGTGCCCACTACAAGTCTACATGATATACTGAGTTAAATGTATCTTGCTTGCCTTTGATTAATTTATAACTTCTGTATTATAAGGCAGTATACAATTGCACCGCAGTATGCTTCGTTTATTATAAATTTATTTTCTGATCGAAAAGAAATTGTTTTGCATTGATCGATTTCATCTCCAATAATTGCCATCAATTTTGAATTGATTGCTGAAAATAGAATTGATTAATGGCAAGCTTTAAACCCTTCGAATAATATTAAATTATAATATTAAATAATATTAAATTTCCGTTCAGCGCATACTGCATTCGCGTATTGAATGATATGCATTTTTTCTCGATTAACCGATAATTTTCTTTTCAGTTCCATGTATTGAATTAATGACTCACATCGACTCACTCAGCATAACCATACCATGGGCGGAAAAATAAATGAATCTTGACTTTTTTAAAGTAAAAGTAAAATAGGAGATTAAAATTGGCAAAGAAAATTTATCCAATCTTTGAAATGCATCGTTTATCCATTTTTTCAATAATGCTGACCACCACGTCCAGCAATAACTATAAGAAATGGATTCAACTGCGTAAATGATAATCATGCATATATGCAGGTCAGAGATTAACAATGCTTCAATAAATAAAGATTTAGTTTCAAGTAAAACTGACAGGATTTTTTGAGTGGATATTATCGGACCCGAATAAATTTCAAGTTTTCCCCAGTTACCGCGCTTTTGTTCATGAGAAACCGCTTGCACCCTACAGAAGGAAAAAAGAAAAAGACCTGGATCACAGTGAATACCCTCCACTAAAGTGCACCAGAGTGAAGTTTACCATCACATAACCCACAAAGTCATAGACGACCACGCAATCAATTAAACTTCACGTCAGTGTAGGAGATTCACTATGATGCAGGTCTTTTCTTGTTTCCTCCTGTAGCTGAGTAATCACGGAAAAATTAGAATACCAATGATGGATTGAATAGCGAAAAAAATTGCATGTGCCTCCAACAATGACAGCAAGTGGCAGTTTATCATCTTTTACAAATCAACCCTCCTACCCTCAATCCCTGATGAATGGTGTGCAGGACAATCCTTTATTCCCATCATGCATGGCGTAACGTACATATAACTATACAGTATATCTTTCCTACATTTTGTGCCATTTATTTTAAAATTTTGTTCACATAATTTGGACCATGTTATTTGGCTATTCAAAAGTTTTTTAAATGATTTTTAAACTTTGTTCGTATATGCGAACTGTTGTTTTTCCCTGGAAGTTTTTCTAGATTTATCATATGCAAATCATTGAAGTTGAAGTCACTCAATAAAAGCCACTGTGGATGGCTCTGGGAGAGACGGGCGCTGTCGGTGAGGCCCCATCTCGCCGGAGCAGAACTCTTGGTCGTCTAAACTCTTTGCCACTGCGCCCCGCATCCCCTCACGCTCTGCAGCCAACACTCTCTCTCCTGTGGTCGCGCATGAGTGACTTCAAGACTCGGGAATAAATCCCTTGTGCAGGAAGTGGTGTAGCATGGACTCCAAGTGAGAAAAAATTATTTCTCCATGTATTTGGGAAATGAAATTATGGGATGTTCCATGGGTCTTTTAGATGTCAGGCATATTTTCTTAAATTTGGTTTGACAATAAGTGCATTTGACAAGTTGCATTCAATTGTGGGTTTGACAAGTGCCTCTTCTGAGGCCTGCTTGACATCAGTTTCATTGAACTTGGGCATTGTAATACTTCAAACAAGGAATTAGCTTCAAAAGGTTCCAACACTTTGGTTTCATGGGTTTAGAATGACCAAGATTGTTCAGCAATAAAAGTATTGTATAGGTCTTGATGACAATTTTTTATCAAGACAAGATAATTTCTTGGACACTGCCTGTATTATTCAGATATAAAAATCTAATTTTGATCAGGGCAAGGCTTCAACAAAAATACAATAATTGACCAGTTCTTGAAGACAGGAGTTTTTGACAAAAGGATCAAATTCTACTGCAAAAACTATTGTTGCAGTACTGTATATTTATATCAATGCATGAAATATACATTCATATTTAGTGTGTCATATTCAGTGTATGAAAAAGGTATACATTCAGGGTTTTTACAAAGAATTTTTCAAGCTTTCCAGGGTGGTGAGTTCTTATTTTAGATAGATTCTAACAGTTTGACAAGAGTCCCCTTCATGTACAAGAGATCATACTCTAAAAGAGTTTGCTTTCTACAAGAACAGGACACTTTCTGCATCAGGAGACTACTTTTTAACAAATACAGGCCAGCAGTTTTAAAAGACAGTATATTGGCCTGTTTTCATTGGAATGAGATTTTGACAAGAAGCCAATTCAAACAATGGTAGAATTTTTGACAGTCACAATAGTCCTGTGACACCACCCAGCGCACCATAAACTCAAATCCTCAAGTCCGTCACTAGTGTGCGTGAAGGAGAGAGTGATGAGAATAGGGAGTGAGGGGATGGGGGGTGCAGTGGCCTAGAGTTTGGCCGACCAAGAGTTCTGCTCCGGCGAGAAACTACACCACCGGCGCTGTCAGGGGTGGAGTGCAAGAGGTAGCCCTGAGTGAAGTGGCGCTGAGTTGAAGTTTTCCTGGAAGGTCTGGTTTCGACGCGAAACATGTGTCTCCAATAAAGTATTCTGATTGTCCCCTTCGAAACTTCCCCGTTTGAAGACAGGCACCAGCTGAGCGATTTTTCTTCAATAACTAGCTTTTGTGCGAGAGGGTCAGCTGGCATGTATTTTTTGGCACGGTCAGTTTAAACGTTTCTCAAGTCATTTAATTTATATTTTTGTGCCCGTAAATGGGGCCATAATGTGTCCCCAGTCAGATTCGCAGGGGAATTCATTTGCCTATTTTCTCCAGTTTATCGTCACATGAAAAAGTGTCGACGCGCTCATTCGCACTCCATTAGGCGATAATGAGAAGGTGACAAAGAATTCGCGAATATTTGATCTGAAATGAAGGGTAACTCGATCAGTGGTTGACTGAAGACAAGGTGAGATTTGTTTTCTGTGCGCACTTCTCGATGGTTTTATTTTCCTGTCTTATATTTACACAGATGCAAAACGATACTGCAAGTATGGCCCACGCAGTTATAGATGTTGGGGGCATGACATGTATGTCATGTGTGCGGAACATTCAGGGGAGAATCGGCGATATTCCTGGTGTGGAACACATCGAAGTTAGCTTAGAAGGCAAGAAAGCGGATGTTGTTTTCGACCCGATTGCGATTTCTGCTGAAAAGATCGCCGAAATTATCGACGATATGGGTTTCATCGCATCGGTATCGAAGTCCGATTCTTTGGTCTCCGAATGGAAAGAATTTTCATTTCTCGTGGATAAGACAATCCCTAGGTGGGAGGAGAAAGTGAAGTACCTCATCACGGACAATCCTCACGTCGAAGATGTTCTCATCGATTTCGACGCCGGCAGCATTGTTGCGAAATTGGACGTTTCTAAGATTTCCGAAAACAAACTCGAACGCGAATTCGAAGAGGCTGGCGTTAAGATCACTGCAGCATCAATTTGCACTCTAAATATCAGAGGCATGACATGTATGTCGTGCGTGAATAAAATTAAATCGTATATCGAGCGAAAGTCCGGTGTGCTTTACATCGAGATAAATCTGCCAAAGGGAGAGGGGACTGCTTGGTTTTTGCCAGATGAGATAAATGCGGAAGAAATCCGGGAAGCTATTGATGACATGGGATTCCCGTGTAACTTCAAAGGGAGTGAAATCGGCAAGGGTGATTCTATCAACGGGCAAGGTTCGTGAAATCTTTGTCTTTTAACGAAAGTTTGTTTTTCTGTGATATAGTGCGTGTAATGTACTTTTTGTATCCACGCAGACCTACTATTCATTAAGATGCTCTCCTGTAAAATCGCCTTTTCTGTCGTACGAATATCTGATCTTGGAATATAATTGTTTGAAGAGCCAACTTTTAGTAGTCCAGCAAATAACATGATTTCTCTTTTCTACTAGTGGAAGAGTTCTCGCAAGGATATCGGTTTTCTAGTGGGACTGCGTCTGAATCAGTTTCAGTCACGATGACGAAACAAACGAGTCTGAAACGAGCAACCATCCGCATCAGTGGAATGACTTGCGCTTCATGCGTTGCTGCCATTGAAAGACGCGTTGAGAAAATTCAGGGCAAGTTTTTGCGAGTTTGCAAACATTTGGTAGAGCTCAACGAAATGTGTGATTCCCTATTATAGGCGTCCATAGCATTTCAGTCGCACTAATGGCGGGAAAGGCTGATGTGAAGTATGATTCTGAAGAAATATCGCCTGAGTCAATTGCTGAAGCCATATCGGATGCTGGCTTCCCGGCTTCTGTCATCGAATCTGCTAAAACAGAAAATGGATCAGTTGTCCTCAGAGTGAGCTTTATCCCATGTTTCGTGATTCTCGGAGAGAATATGAAAATTTTTCACTTTGTGACAGATCGGAGGAATGACTTGTTCCAGCTGCGTGTCCAAGATTGAAAGTTACTTGAAGAAACAGAGGGGCATTATTGATGTGTCGGTAGCTCTAACCACTCAAAAAGGCAAAGTTTCGTTCGACCCTGATGTCATCGGTGCACGAGATATAATAGAGATTATCAATGTGAGTGGCTCATCATTTTCCCCGTGTTCTGAAGTTGAGCGGTTAAGTGCTTATTTTCAGGGCATGGGATTCGAAGCATCTTTAGCGTCCGACGGGGCAGATCCGTATGGTATTGCTGGTCTGAGACACGTATCAGAAATAAATCAGTGGAGAAATACGTTTCTTCTTGCGCTGACCTTTGCGGTGCCTGCGATGTCTGTCATGATGTACTTCATGTTTCTTCACAAAATGTACCCGAATCGTCATTTCTGCTGCGTGATTCCTGGACTTTCTCTGCACAACTTGATTCTTTTCTGCCTCGCCACTCCGGTTCAAGTGAGTAAACGGCATGAATTCTTTCAGTTTTCAAGCCTAGCAATATGATGTACTCTAACATGTACTTTTTATGTATTATCCTGTTCTAGTTTATCGTTGGCTATCCATTTTACGTCGCAGCGATGGCAGCGCTAAAGCATCGATCCACGAACATGGACGTATTGATCATGTTGGCCACGACAATCTCTTACGTTTACTCCGTGGGAGTTCTCATTGCCGCCATTGCCCTAAGGGAGCATGACAGTCCGCGAACTTTTCTGGAAATTCCCCCAATGTTGCTGGTTTTCATATCGTTGGGTCGATGGCTCGAGCACATCGCTAAAGTGAGTTTTGGGGAGGATATCCAAAAGATTACACATATTCGCTTAGGTTTAGTTTAGATTGCCATAGGTTCTTTGAAGGAATATTGTGTGTGATGTAGAAATGTCCCTCCGTCGATTTCTAAAAGTAAGAAATGAACGAAGGCTTGAAGTGCGCGAACTTGAATGACCAGATGGAATGTTAGAGCTCAGAGCGTTTAAAGAGCAACTTACGAAATACCGAATCTTGTTTGCATGGCTTATACGATTTCTTTTCAATTCTCAACGATTGTTTCGAAAATATCAAAACAGGGTAAAACCTCGGAAGCGCTGGCGAAGCTCATGTCTTTGCAAGCGACAGAAGCGACTTTGGTGCAGCTCGGACCTGGCGGAGACGTACTTACGGAAAAAGTCATTCCTGTGGAGCTTGTACAGAAAAGTGACATCTTAAAGGTCGTGCCTGGTTCGAAGCTTCCTGTGGATGGAAAGGTTGTGCGAGGAATTTCCTCAACCGATGAGTCATTGATAACCGGAGAATCTATGCCTGTTGCGAAGCGGCCAGGTGGGAGCGAAATTTCACCCTACGCGTTGAATTATCGCAAGGAAGATTAATTCCAGGTTGTACCGTGATCGGTGGATCGATCAATCAAAACGGCTTGTTGTTCATCAGAGCAACTCATGTCGGTTCGGAATCTGCTCTTGCCCAAATCGTGAAACTAGTCGAAGAAGCGCAAACGTCGAAAGCGCCCATTCAGCAGCTAGCGGATAAAATCGCGGGAATATTCGTTCCCATCGTTTGCGGGGTTTCATTGTTGACCTGCATCATTTGGTTAACAATCGGCTACGTGGACGTTACCATCATTGAACCGACGTTTTACACTAATCCTGCGGGGTACAGCAAGCATGAAGTCATTTTCCAGTTCGCGTTTTTGTGTGCGTTGAGCGTCTTGAGTATTGCTTGTCCGTGTTCCTTGGGACTTGCGACCCCAACCGCGGTGATGGTCGGGACTGGTGTTGGTGCTACGAATGGAATCCTTATCAAAGGGGCAGAAGCTCTGGAAAACGCGCATAAGGTACATGATGATTCATATCTCAGAATATGTTGTTTCTAGGAAACATAATTTGCTTTGGCATTGTCCCGAAAAATGTTGTCTGTCGCCTGTGATGTTTTACCGACGTTGTTCACCAGATTAAATTTCGAAGAGATTCGACTCGTCTGAAGTAGAAAATGGCTAAACAATGTCAATACTGTGTCTTAATGATTACAGAAAATTTCGGAGAATAGTCACGAAGTTCGCATAGTCATTTCCACTGTTGTGTCTATCACGAGTTCCGTACATTAATTTCCGATTTTGATCTCTTACTCGACTTCATCTACAACTTTATAGGGCATCGCTTAATGTTTGCTGATCATATGATTCCAGAAAAATCAGTATTCAAAAGTACAGATGTTTTTTTGGTTGAACAGGTGAAATGTCTCGTTTTCGATAAAACGGGAACCATTACCAAAGGAAAACCTGCTTTGAGCAAGCTCTGCGTCTTTGTCCCGGAGTCCGTTATGTCAATAGCTGGAATCATCGCGGTTACATCGACGGCCGAGAGCAATTCGGAGCATCCGATCGCCACTGCAGTAGCAAAGTTTGGTGCCGATGTATTGAAAACTATCCGTGGAGAGAATTCTGGTCGTTCGCCAATCGAAGAAGAATCGGAAGGAAAGCCCGAATTTTCTGGTCTGGGCAAAAGTGACAAGTTCATGGCTGCTCCAGGCTACGGTCTCAAAGTGGTTGTTTCTCAGATTGAAGGAGTTGTTCGGGAAATCAGTTCCCACAGTTTGATCAAGAATCTCTTGAATCAAGGAAGAGAAGAGTGAGTAGAAGAGAGTGGAAAGTATGATTCGCTAATTATAATGCCTTCATTAATGCTGACGTGGTTCATCCAAAATACATGCCGACGAAATAATGCAGGTGGACTCTCACTGCACCGATTTTCTCAGTACAGTATTACTAATTTATTCTGGTCTCTTGAATTTCGTTGTGAAGAGAGTCCACCTGTATTCTCGATGCTTCAGGCGGCATTTGAATCTGCGTCCATGTTTCAGTGAGGCTTTAAATGGAACCATACGCGTTTCGGACTACAATGTTGACGTGATGAGGCACAATTTCGAAGTTTCATCAAAAAATCTCTCCGCGTTTTCGATCACGAATAACTCAAATGCCAGTCATATTGGAGCAGCTGCGGGCCACGAATATTTCGTCAGTACTCTTCGCTGATTTTAGAAAGAGTTAATTCTCACTCCGAAGATGTAATTCTACAGGTGGTCATTGGGAATCGAGAATGGATGAAAAAGAACGGTGTCGACGTTTTGCCTCAGGTTGATTCCCTGATGACCGAATATGAGCATCAGGGTCAAACCGCAGTCTTGTGTGCCGTCAACGGTAAGTGCCCGCCAGAATTTATTCATTGTTTTGATTTGTATTGAAAGTGTTCTTGCGTTTTACAGGGACAATGGTTGCCCTTCTTGTTGTTTGCGATCCTGTAAAACCAGAAGCCCATTTAGCCATATATCAATTGAAGAAGCGCAATCTTGAGATCATTCTCCTGACCGGTGACAATATTCGTACCGCGAGAGCCATTGCCAGTCAAGTAAGTCAACGTTTCTTTTTGCTACAGTACTCGAGTCTTCATTACTTTAACCCAGATTTATCTAAAGCTTGCAGAGCCTGTAAATGAGTTTGTAGATCGGAATTAGTATTTGTTTATGCTGACGTGCCTAAGGAAGCCTTTGAATGCGCTTGCCGTCATTCCTCTTCGAATGTGACATCTTTTTAGTGACCCGGTCATGCTGTAAGTCAGTGAAACTTTTTAGTGTATCATAGCAATGTTGTTAGTTTTGTTGGTTATTTTTACATCCATTTCACGTGAAGTGCTTATTAACTAACTCCTATTTAACCCATGGGAAAAAGAGAGACGGTCGGGTTGAACCTTGCTGCGCGATTTTTTTCGTTATTCGCTTTTACAGACTCAATGTAATTTAGTGTGAAAATAACATGCCATTTTTATGCGTTTTTTTCGATTTCAGGTTGGAATTCCGCGCGTTTTCGCCGAGGTGCTTCCAGCGCACAAAGTGAGCAAGATAAAAAGCTTGCAGAGCGAAGGCAAACGAGTTGCCATGATTGGAGACGGTGTTAATGATTCGCCGGCTTTGGCGCAAGCTGACGTGGGAATTGCGATCGGGTCAGGGACAGATGTTGCTCTGGAAGCCGCCGACATCGTGCTGATTCAGAATAATCTACTTGATGTTCTGGCTTGCCTGGATTTGTCACGAAAAACAGTTCGCCGCATTCGCATGAACTTTATTTTTGCGTCCGTGTACAACCTTGTGGGGATCCCGATTGCCGCAGGCGCATTCCATCCGTTCAACTTCGTTCTCATGGTACGTTCTGAACTGGAAATCCGAACTTTTTATTTGAAGCATTCTCCAGTTTGTCAATGCTTCGAAGCGTGATTCAGTATGAGAGGCGTAAAAGTTTGCTGTGCTTCGGGAAATCCATAATCCCTGTGTAAGGAATTTTCGTAATTAGTTTCTTGCTGTAAACAAATCATGGACAGGTCTCACACTCTGGAAATTTGATTCTAACTTCACCAGCTTTCTTGATAGTAAACACGCGTGTTGATTGGGTTTTTATAGAATTTTTCCTCAAGTAATATGTGTAAAAATAACAGTACTTCTACCTGTAGGATCTTGCCAGCTATTCATTGAAGTTGATCGATTTTTGAAGCCGGTTTTTTTTTAAATCTACAAAAATCCTCCACATGGAAGTTTATGTTGTGCACATGCACAGTCTCAAAGAAGACAATTCAGAAGAAGATGTCGGATCTCTGAGGGGCGGCAATCTGCCTAGATTGATTCATTTGGGGAATTTCTGGTGTGGATTGGCGTAAATAGAGGGCTACGGTTTCCGTTTTTAATTTTCGCAAATGCTGCATGGTTTCCGTTTTGACTTACTTTATTTCCGATGTATTTTTCCTCTATAGCCGTGGATGGGATCAGCCGCAATGGCTGCGAGTTCTGTGTCCGTGGTTTGCTCGTCGCTCTTGTTGCGTAGGTAAGTAACTTCGTTGTACAGTATATTTTTTCTGTTCATTAAATAATGAATTATATCGCATCAAGATTTCGTAAACCTAAGCAAGAAGACCTTATGACTGTCGAATACGTACAAGCAATGCGAGCGAGAGCAATGGCGTTGGATGAGGACGAGATTTCTCTTCATCATGGTCTCGAGCTTGACTTACCCCGCAAGAACACTTCTTCTACTTGGAGCAGGTTGGTTTTCAATCCATGATTCGAATTTCGGGGTATTCATCTAATTTTGTATGTACGACTCACTGCCGTTCAACTTCGACTTTCAGAAAAATGCAAAACGATTTCACCGAGTTGTTCTAACAGAAATTACCTTCCGTCTAAGCGGTCTAAGCAGTTGCTTTGTTTCACTTGCATTAAATTTATTTTTATTTGGAGAAGATTTCAGGAAGTACTGTGAACGTATCAACTCGAACTTTGAATTGTCATGAAATCTATGTAACTACCTTTCCACGAGCAACACTCAATTTAAATAAGGAATCGATGTTTTTTCATGGATAGTCGTTATTTTCGTACAAATATCGGTACTGTACTTCACCAGTACAACCTTATCAGTAAAACATTAGTTTTTTTCTTTTCCGAATTCTCTTATCATGCACGTTCTTACGTTGAGTTAACTCGATGTTGCTTTTTCGTGCTAGCGTCTTGCGTGTGTTGATCGTGTGCGATTCACGCTTCAGATTTTGTGTTCACTAATTTTTTCGGCCATAGAACATTTTTAATTCTTTCGTTACTCACTGAAAAATGTTCACCTTCTTTATCAATGATTTTCCCTAGACTTCCCGCGGGACTATGTTTGACGGACTGACGATACTTCACTACTAAAAACTACCTAGCGATCACTTGTACTTGATTTTTATTGATCGTGACACGCTTGACAATTTTGTGTGAACCCTTGGATTTAACCTGTTCGAAGAAACAAACTTCGGAATAACATTTACCGCGATTCGTTCATTTGAGATGTGCTCTGTTGGAGTGCGAATGTTCAAATTTTGCGGAATGCATTTTTCGGCGTGAATGACCCATATGATATCCGCAGAGACGACGAGTCATGGACGGAGAATGAGTTGGACGAGGAGGCTCCGTTGCTCAATGATTAACAATGAATTTTGCAAAAGAAAAAAAATATTTATTTCTGTGGCTTCCGAGGACCTTCCAGTTAACTCATTATTGTTGATTTATTGAGGAAAGATATGTGCGTGGTCAACTGAAAACGTGCAAGGTGAGAAACACGAAATGAGATGAAGACCACTGTACAATGCTTTTGGTGTTGTCGAAGCTGGGTCAAGGGTTTTAGGTATATTCTACTTCGATTGGGTTTTAAAGTTGGTTTTATTGTTGTTTTCTAGTACGATAGTATAGCAGTTACCTGAGTATTCGTCGATTGTTACATTTTCTCGATAAATACCGTATAAACTGCAGTTGTTTCAATAATGGTGCCAATGCTTTGAAATGTTTCACAAGACCTTTCTGAATTTGGAAAAGCAAATCTTTCATAAAATTACCTCAACAATAAAAATGTCTTGTTGCAGTACTTTCGATGGACACTTAATTAATTGCTATTTATCCTGTTCGTCGGAACCATGTAAGTTTTCGGTGCTGAACATGGCGTCCATTCTGTCCCAAAATTCTGAGTAAAATGTTCCGAAACCTTTGGGTTCAATGCCGATGTTCATCAAGTGACAAGAGTCCTAGTTGAAATTGCAACCCCGATTTGGAAGACTTCTTGTTAAATATGTTATGTGCGAGGGCAACCGTCCCATTGATCATCACTATCACAAAATAACTTCGGTACAGTGTGTGAAAAATTGAATTGTCACATGATTATACATTATGCAAATTATTCTCCGAAGATATTTTTCATTTAAAGCATTTATTTGCTCTTGGACAATGTGAGTTTATTAAACCTTCTCACAATTCAACTCTTTGTGGATAGATATTGGAAAAAATTCACTGAAGGTTTCCATGTTGACTGTAGTTTAGTAAATGCATCTCCATTGATCGCACGATCACTTAGTGAAGCTTGGCAAAATGTTTGAATCAACTGTTGTAAGATTTCAATTTTTTTATTTACGCGAGAAGACGATAGTTTGATATGGATATGATGGAATCGCAGCTTTATTGATGTCTGAATATAAAAGTTTAATGAAAGTTTCAAAATGCCGTCATTCTTCTTCTGGACAACGGAAGCTGGTCTCTACTGGTGCAATGATCGCCCAAGATTGAAATTAATAACTGCAATGATCGTTCTACACTTTATCCCGTCTGCGGTGAAATGGTCCAAACTGGTGCATATTTTGTTCGACTGGTTTAGCACCGTGTTGGAAATTTAGGATATCCGTTGGTGTAATGTGGTTTTGGGTTTGGGAAAGTAGACTAAAACCATTTCGGACGCTTCTGTTTTTTTTCTTCTTCCACAGCCGGCCGACTGCCGCTCGAATGGTTTGACACCACCGCTTGTCTATGAATTTTTCGTGTAACGTGAACACTGTCTCACAGCTTTAAAATCTTGAGAATTCCGCGGATTTGTGCGAAATAACATGAAATGGGGGCTGACTGGATGGTGGGCGGTTCAATCAGAAAGAGGTTTTGGAGTCGTTGCGGATGAGCTCTGGCACGTAATTATATCTCTCTGGTTTTTTTTCCTTGCTGCTCGTTGCTAACTCACTGGTCCCGTAAATCTTCTGGAATGTTTCCCTGAAATGTTCGCTAACACTCAAATTTCGTTTCTCCGAATGAATGTAAATACTGTTCCGTGGTGATTATTTCCTCATTCGCAGGAGCCAGTTTTGTCCCTTAGAAATCCCTGTCGACTGAAGCTTTCTCGGGATCCGCAACTAACGAATTTATATGCATCGCTCTACTCAAAACCCTTCTTCCAATATACCATTTAGTCAATATTAGCTCTAGAAAAATTAACAGTTTTGAGTGACTCGGACGAAGTTGAGGAGTTCATTGTTGTTAACTTCATTGTTTGTTCATCGTGCCTGAATCGGGTGATATTCGAAGGAAGTGCTCGAACGGATTTTGCTGCTTGAACGCGGTGATCGTTGAGAATACTTCATCCGCTAGATGGTTCCGTGGAAATTTCCGTGATCGAGTAATCGATAAAATCACGTGAATTATCTTGATTTCGGAAGTTGAGTCTCAATGCAAGTAACGAATTTATTTTTTTTTATTGGAGGATATTCACTTCAGAAAGCCGCAAATATGGTATCTTGCTTCGCGGTTTAGTAGAGATATTCTTGGGTTTTGGATTTTTTTAGTGATTTTCGAGGCAATTCTGAATTTTTAGATGCATTTAGTCCTGTTGCTATATCGGCAAGAACTTCGAGCGCACAGTTTTGGTGTGTCGCCTGCTTTCCGCCGAAATTCGCGTTTTTGCTTGCTGCATCTGGTGAATTCTCGAAATGACTTCGTGTTGAATCTTTTGAACAAATTTTCTTTTACCGTTTCCTTTCATGGGGATTTCAGAATCTTAAACAAGTTGGACACCGGTCGAGGAAAATGGGATCATCATTTGATTCCTACCGAAGATCCTGACAAGGCAGGTGTGCTCGTGGACTCAGACGAGGAAGATTTGGATGAATCCGCCCAGAAGCACCGATCAGTGATGATAATTTAAGTCAAATGTGTCTGAATTTCGAAAACAGAAAAAAACTAGCTTCTTACGTTTTTCTTCTGTTTTTTTCGGGGTTTGTGATTGTATCCGATTTTCGTCATGGTTGTCACTGTCGCTCTGCTTGCCGGTATCAAGGTGCTGTTTCGATTAGGTCTCTAGTTTTCACTTTTTTTTCGGAAAACGTTGGTCAGTTTTGAGGCTTTTGAAAGTTGAGGAAATATTTTAATTTATTGGAATGTTGTGTGTGACTCGCCTTGCCAACCGTGCTCTGGCCGGAGCGTTTCTTTGTGTGACATTTCGTCATTCCTGTGCAGTATTTTTTCAGCGGCTGATCGATGTGATTTGAGGTTGACCGTGTGCTGGGAGTTTTCGTTTGATGAAGAGTGAGTGAAAACCGGCTGTGCGGATAAGAAATATCTGTTGCAAATTCGTTTCCATTGCCGCTTGCCCTCCTGAAACGCGTGTTCGCTTGTGCACAAAACGTACTTAATTGGCTAATGCTAGTTTCCTTTTCTTTTCGTGAGAGGGGCGAATTCTGTGGGCATGTCATTCACTGGTTCAAGAAAGAGACTGTGCTATTCAATAACGAGGGATTTTTTTTGGTATTCGAGCTCTGTGCCATGATCGGTTAATCTTTACTCAAAGGGGGATAATCTGCCATTATTATTTGAATTACGCGCATGGGTTGGTTCAAAAGTTCCGCCAGTTCCTAGGCTTCATTTTTTTCTGACATAATGATGGAAAAGATGGATTTAATTTATTGAGTTTACAAATATTTTTGTTTAATTGTTAACTGCTATTTCAATTTTTCCTCATCCAGATAGATATTATAGAAATGATGAAGAATCACAAATTACGCCGCGCTAATGTGATTGAATACGATTTTAACCTGACACTCTTGCATGTCTAATAAATTTGCAAGCAGTCGTCGGTTTATAGAAATAAAAATTATTCTCGTTTATGACCATTTCCCAGGACAGAAAAACATGTTCCGCGTAAAATTTATTATGGTATCCACGATTTAAGTGATGATGTTGAATGCCGAAATCGCTCTTAAAGCTTGATTGTTGTTCAAAAACATTGCTATGATCGCTATGAAAAAAAAGTTGCGAATTGGCAGAGGCCTTCTCAAGGTCCTGTTTTTGATTCCATAGTGGTTCGGATGATTTTTGTGTCAAGAAGGGTAGAATAACTTCGATGGGAGCTGAAACTTTTGATCCGTCCCTCGTCATGTATATCTTTCATTTTTCATCTTCCGTGTGCGTGATTTTACAAGTTTGTTTTGCCTCCTGTAGGCGTTGGAAGCGATTTTTGTGCTTACCTGCAATGCGATTTCAAAGGAATACTTGCTTGACGCTGAAATTTTCGTGCTGAGACGGCTGATGCTCCGAAGGAAAACTGTCCTATGTTTCTTAGGGAGAGACTTGAGAATTCTCTCGGGGTGCTAGAATTTTCAAGGAAAGGAACATTGCAATAATGACGTTCCTGGCGTATGTTTATTTTCTTCTGGGCTCCGCGTTCGATTTTCTTTGGTTTGATTTACCTGGGTTTGGTGGAACGACTGTTCCGCGGAATTATTTTGGGTTCTGAGTGACGTTCAGAGTTTGCAGGGTTTCCGCGTAATTCTTGTCGGAATTATTCAACTACCGTATGTGATGGGGAGAAACTCAAGGGGAGCTTACCGTTCTATTTATGTAGCGGAAAATATAAAAATTTGAAAATGCATCCTTTTTTCTGACAGAGTCATTTTGTTTCTTTTTTTTCTGGAAGTCGACCCCGGAAGGAACGCTTTATAGAAATTATCATTATTCTTTCGACTTGGAAGCGTTTATTGTACTGTGTCTGTATCTCACCCAGGATGTTTGTATCCGTGTGCTTGGAAAATTCTTTGGTGAGAAACTTGGCGGCGGTTGAATGTCAGTGTAACGGATTGCAGTACTGTGAAGTACAGTACTTGAGAACTGAATAAGTTTCTTTTTTCTAGGAGGAGGAGGACGAACTTATCCAGGAAAACTTTCCTTCGAGTAAGCTGGAATGAGTGAGAAAACATTTTTCATTTGTCTTCATCTTTATGAGGTCGCGCATGCATACTTGTGTGTGTCGAATTATTTTACGTTGAAATTCAAAAGCGCGCTGCATTTTCAACTAAGTAGTTCAACTGAACTATCGGGCAATACATAAGTTTTTTCATGCTTATAAATTTCTTTCGCATTTTTTAAGCAAAGAAATTCTGTTGATTTTAACTTTGTAGCACCTCATAATTTCTGTGATGACATCGCTATGAAAAATTCTGGTGCGAGTGCAGTGTGAGATATGCTGTTCATTTATTCCAATACAGTACTGTACTTGAAGTTTCTTTTCTTCTACGATTACAGTCGAATTTCTAGGGACCATGAAAAAAATGTGACTTTTGGAGGTTTTGAGTAAAGGAAACAAATATTTTTGCTGCAAGGAAAATGGGAAATTGTAGATGAGGATATTCTGGGCCTACACTTCTTGATGAGTTTGCAGCTCGCTGAACTTTGAGGCAGGGGTTCATTTGTACAATTAGTCTTTCACTTCCTTTAAAAATGTATAAAATAATTTGCTTTGCTTATTTTCTCTTTCATATTTCAAGGAAATAATAATCAAAATGCTTCAGAAAATTTGACTTACAGAGGTGTGAGAGAAAAATACTTAGTGTTTGGGAGGTTTTTAATGCATTGTTTCTATGGGAATTCAGAAAGGGACTTGAAAAAAAATTGAGTTAGGGAGGTTTGACTGGGCAAGTTTCAACTGTATTTAAATGTCCTGCTGCTGTTAGTGGTTTTGAACATTTTCAGAAAGAAATTATTGTGAAATATTAATGCCGTGAAATGATGAAGAAGAACAGTACTGTACTACACATTGATTGAATAATTGGAGTGGAAACAATTGACCAGCAATCTTGGTGACATAGATTACAGTACAGTACTTATGTTTATTGTAACTTTTGAATAATGTGATGAGCTATGACAAAACAATTGCGCGTATTTTTCCTGTAAAATAGCTCTCAAATGGTATTGAAAGCTTAAGCCAATCCCATCATTAAAAAGTTAGTTTCCCTTTGATATTTTTAATCTTCACTCTTGTCTGCAGGAGTTTCAGTCATCCACACGTGTGTGGATGACTAAAAATCCTTTGGTAAGTGTAAATTTGCCCTTGAAGTAGTTTGCTTTAAAATATCTTTGGTGAATCGCATCAATGTACATAGTTTGTTCCCTGCTTTCTGAGAAAAATTTGTAGCAGATAATCAGGAAAGTTGGCTTTAAATCCCATGCATGCCATGTTTGTACAAAGATGATATTGCAAAGGAAAGGGGACGCCAATTTAGTCATACAATTTGTTATTTTTTACGTTCACTTGTGGGACATGACTTCCTGTTTATTATTATTCAATTTTGGAGAATACAGTAAATTGAGTAAAAATTACGCTATAAGGTTTTAGATTATATCGTTACAACGATTTTCCTCAGTCCCTTTGCCCTTCAGACTTTCAAATAGCTGTCTGGGGTCTGTATAGACCCAGTCGTCTGTCGAATGTTCTTGCTGGTGATTCTTCATAGCCCCGCCAAAAAATGCACAAACCCCGGCCCACTGAAGACTGAACTGGATATTCGCACGAGAATAAACGGGGTGCTTCCAAGTACTGGCAGGATGTGTGTTGAAGGACTGGAATAGTTAACGGGGAACAAGCATTTTAAAGCATTGCAAGCCCTCATGAGGAAGAGTTCATGATTTTATTTCTAATCCACCCCAATGCTCAAAAAACTGCAGATTATGTAACAGGTGAGTTTTTAGTTTTACTTAGCTTTCCCTTCCTGTGAAGAATGGGGTTATAACTTATGGAACAATATCGCTGGAATACGGATGCGGAACACAAAAAGTTAACTCATTTGAATTGCTGTTTTTAGATCCCTTATTTGATGATTTTTTTTCTCGGCAATTCCGTTGTAAACGAGCTAAAAACACGATATATGTAAAAAAAAAAATATATATAATGAATCATTCTTTATGCTGAGCCAGCAGATGAACTTTACCAGTATATTACTGTACTTGATAATTACGTACAATAATTTCGGTCAGATATGAGCACAGCAAAACTTTTTTGCGGTCTCGAACGAATAAAAATGTAAGTTTTTCTCCATATCCTGTTCGCGTCTGACCACCTTTTTTTCATGCTTGAATTGGTTTAAAAATGGTTCCCCAAATTCCCCATCATCAGCAGTTGAAGAACTTTGGAACCCATGTGAGTCAAGTCGAAAAGTCGTCAGTATATATGAAACAACTTGAATAAGTATCCACTCGTTCGGGCCAGTCAAAAGTTGCAAATGGACCGAAAGGCAGGTTCAATCGGGAAAGTGCCAAGCAGGAAGAGAACCTTCGCGAGTACGTACGTGACGAAATACTTGTACTGTATATATATATATACTGTATATATATATATATATGTAGGTCTTCTATTTCTTTCTCTCTCTCGCTTTCTATGTAGGAAATAGAAGGGAAAATAGCTCAGTCGTCTTGTACAACGGGGACAAAATTGGGCCTCCCCACTTTTTTTTCTCTCCCTCTCTTTTGCTTTCTAGGAGAACCCGCACGGCGGTGACGCTGTTCGTGCCACTTGGAAGTCTGCCCGTGCCGGAACCATACCTCAGCTACAGCGGACACCTTTTTTCTCTCCTGGCCTCTATTCAACGTCTCGAGAAATTCCCCTTCGAAATTCTTGCCTTGGGATTCGCGAGGGGCATGACGATGACGACGACGACGACGACGACGACGAAGAGCAACGAAAGGAAGGAGGAGACAGGAAACGCTAGGAAAACTTCCGTTTTATTTCATTCTTCTCCGCGCGGGGTATAGTGGGGGCACACAATTAACCCGGAAAATAAGGCAACGAGGATTCGTGGCCTACAATGCATGTATAGTTGGCAGTTCCGCAGCGACGGATTCGGTATAACCCCGTTTGGGAGACGGTTTTCTCTACTATGGAATTAAAGGGACCAGAAAAAAAAGATAGTTGTAGAGAACCTGTGTAAAATGGGAAGAGAATCCTATGGGACTAAATAAAAATTCACCATACATCAGAGAGAATTGTTGTAGACGAGATCGTTGGTACAGAGAGTCCACCCTGTAATTAGTTTCTCAAAATAATGTTATCCCTCTTTTGCAAACTGCAACGGAAAATGATTTATTTTCGCCATGGAGGAAAATGTTCTCTTATAAAGGTACAGGTGGACTCTTGATCTCTCGCTCTCTCTCTAAAAAAATTCATGGGAAAATAAATAAATTCGCTCTAGATAACCCCTGCTATATAATATGGGAAGATAACCTTATGATGGAACCACAAAAAATTATTTTGTAAAAAGGAACTTTCTCGGCAGTCTCTGCGAACAAATTCAAAAGAACAGAAAAATATTCGTTGTAGAGAGAATTTTGTTGCAGAGACCCCCTATAACATGGGGAGAGAAATGTGTGGGACCACAGACCGCAAATTCCTTGTACAGTATTGATAAATTTTTTGGAGACAAGATTGTTGATGTAGATACAGAGTCCACCTGTATCTCTTTCTCTTGTTCTGAATGTAACAGGATGCCTAATAAATGCGTTCTCAATTTTTCTAGGATTTACCTGTCACGATATGTGTCAAAGCCGAAGTCCAAGAAAAATTTTGCGTTGTCGGCAGAATTCAGCTTTTTCATTCCAGTTCCACGCGGACTTGGATGAGGAACGTATCAAAAATTCTGAATTATTTTGAACCGCGCTGTTCGGCGTTTTTCTCGTGAATGTTCTACGAAGTAGTGCCAAAGCCGGATTTTCGCTTGTTTCTTTGTACTGTAAGAAAAGTTTTTTACAGGTCAACTTTTCAGCACCACTCAAAGCACACGAGTATTATATGAGGCAGGAAGTGAAGAATATACTGGGATATGTATTTAATCGCACAGCTTCTCGACAAGCAAAAAATAAAAGCCGGAATAACGTGCGTAAAAATGTGTCCAGGTACAGTATTTTGTTGAATACGGTTTTCTTTACTCGACATTGATTATTCATTGGAAAATCTAAAATTGCCTACTTACTCAATACAGTTCACTTGCCCAATTTTCGTCCAAAATTTTATTCAGAAAGTGAAGCGCGTTATGAACGTGTATACATTTTTTCTGTAAACATTTCAGATTTATTTTGCCTGTCAGGTCTGAAATTTTTAGTGAAGTTTCAAAGAAGAAGTTTTGGAGACTATAGAATAAGTAAAATACAGGTGGAATTTAATGAACGACGAAATTCAAGGGACCAGAGAAATATCCTTGTGGAAAAATTTCGTCGTAGAGAAACCTTATAACATGGGTCGAGAACCTTCGTTGGACCAAGATAAATTGTTCATGCGGGAAAAATCTTCAATAAGATACTCTTATCGTGTCTTGTATATATTTTGGCTCAAATAAAGCTGGCAGCTGGAAATGTGAAACGAAAAGAAATGCAGCTCAGTTTGATAGAAATGTTATTTCTTCAACTTCCGAATATTAGTTTTTATTTCATTTAAAAAAATTTCTGTGAACTGGGTTGAGCGTAAGCTGGAGTTAATGTTCGCAACTTTTTTCTCGAAACTGAAGATTTGCTTCAAACTCTTACATCAGGACACATATGGTACTACATTAAATGCAGTAAGATCTGTTTTTGGTTTGACGACCCACATATATGCTCATGATCTTTGTTTTGATTGTACAAAGCTCAAGTAAGAACCGTACTGTACTGATGTAACGTATCATCATACCGTGAAACACTCCGAAACTTTGGTGCCGTGTGTGCAGGCGTCAACAAAGAAATGCGTCGAGAAAAAGCCAGGTCGCTTTGGATCCCTTGGCCCACTTGGCTTCCGAATGTGCGTCGACACGAATAATAATTTCCTCACCGGAACTGTCTTGGCGACCTAAAATCAGCAGCCCTTCATGCAGTTGGACTGACTTGATCATCAACATTTTACGGACGACTCCATGGAGTTGGAGCATGTTCTTCGTTTCAATTTTAACCATGTCGTTTCAGTCATGATGGCGAATTTCCGAATTTTTTTTAAATGACGAAACTGTGAATCTTATTTTAACTGACCTGACAATTCTCATGGAAGTCCTCTGCATATATATACTCCGTGTAATATAGAGCGGTGTTACTCAATTTTTTTCGGCCTGCGGACTGGCAAATCTCCATAAAATTTTTTGCAGACCTGCAAATTTCCCTAACATTTTTTCTTAGACTGGCAAATTTCCAAAAAAAAATTTCGGGGTACTTTTAAAGTTGCATAGCATTTTTGCAGAATCAAAATGTTTTGTTTGAAAGAATTTATGGCAGGTACTTGGAATTTTTCTGCTTTTTTGCAAAAATTCAGTTGAGAACCAATGAAACAGCTATACAGTGGGAAGTCTTCAAAAAATTCGAAAGGTGGGCTTGAAGAAAGGCTTCTCAGAATTAAAAAAATAATTTTTGCAGCAGGTGAAAATGTGTCAGGTGTTCTGAATAAGGAAAGCCAAATTTTATTTTTCATCAGATAATTTCAGCTGCAATTGTCTTTCCAAAATGTAAGATAAAGATAACAGACTTCATTGCTACTTTTTAGTAACTTTATTATCCTAAAAAAATGTCTTGCAGTCACCACAAAACATTTTTTGCAGACTGGCGCCAGTCTGTGGACCCTGGGTAGAGGAACACTTTAACAGAGCTTCAAATAACCCTTCATTCATTCAATCTTTGCCAAAACTTAATATCACAGAAAATGAAGAGCTTCCAAAATGAATTTAATTTAATCCGTTTTGTTCCAATCAGAGCAAATTGGGGATTTTCTTGAAAAATTAAGATTTCAATTGGCATACATAACAAAGATAAGGAAAATATAAATAAATGATTCAATTGAAACAGACTCTATACACACCTCGGAAAATGTCAGAGAAAGTTCTTGATGGGAACTACGAGACATGTGTTGCTCTTTTCTTCAAGATTCGCACAGGAAATAATATGCATAGTTTTTCTTTGTCTGTTGTTGCTGGAACAGCTTTGGTCTGCAACTTGAAATAATCTACCGTGCGTCCATGTTCATTCGACCAGATAAACTCGTAGCACACCGAAGTCCAAAAAACCTGTTTCGCCAAAATATAAGAGCTGGCTGGTTCGTGATGAAAAAATGCTGGCATTTTGCCCAGAACATAAGCTGGTTTTGCATTTGACATCGCAATTCTATGCCAAGCTGCTGTTGGGCACTGTTAAGTTTCTGAGTTAAGCGACGTTCCAGGGCTTGATGAGGTTTTTACTCTATAGCTATTTACAACGCACTTATATTGTTTCTTTCAACTTTTAAGTTTTGTATAGTATCGGTTAAAATGCTGGTTAAACCATTTTCATGCCTGTCTGCACCGACAGAATTGTGTATTAAGTATTCTAAGAAGTATATTTAAAAAATGTACTTCACATTCCTCATTTGCGCCTTTTTATAACGATGAAAGGTCGTTTACGTGCTGTACGTGCAGTAACCAGCGTAATTTCCCCCCCCCTTTTTTTAGCCCTATGCTGATTTCCTTCACCCAAAACTGTCTTGTGTTACATTGAAAAGAGAAATTTACCATAAATCTTTCCATGGGGCTGTTTTCGAAGACTGCTTCCTGAAATCTTGACTGACATACACGATAGAATATAGGGTCCAAAGATGCGAACAGATTTACTTATCCATCTGTGTCCAGAAGTCGGAAAATACATGCGTTGGATCACATTTTTCGTATTTGGCAAGAAATTTCCAAAATTCCTCTAAAAATTTAAGGAAACGGCTTTTCATATTGAGAATTAATGTGCAGAAGAAAATCATACAGAATTCTCCCTCTTGGCACGAAAATAAGTTCACAAGGCAAAAAATAAGTACACAGCCAAAACAAATACATTATTGGCATACTGTACACATTTTGATGATGATGAAATTTTTTTAAAAAGAGAACGGTTCGTTGCGGGAGATCAATTAGAGCCAATTTACGATAAGCATTATTATAATTTCTTGTGCAAGGCAACAGCTCAATTTTTTCTAGATATATCATATTTCATACTTCTTTCATTTTTTCTGGAAATGATGGCAGCGTCAAATTCTCGTCAGGTCATTGTTCAGAGTTTGGGACAGCATTTTTTTTGGCGAAAAGAGGCCATATTAAGTTGAAGTGTCCGCATGCTGAGGTGTCCAAATTTTTTATTGTACTGAATTTCACACGATGGCCGTTTCATCAAAATGCACTATATTCGGAGGTTTTTATCTGAAGGCATCAAATATACTATACTGTTGTGTGCAAATAAATTTTCAATTAGATTTACTGTGTTTTTACCTTCAAATTCTCAAAAGATGCGAGCTCTTCTGGAAAAATTATGTCAAATGTGGTCGCAACTTCATTTGACATCACAGTATTAATTATTTCCGTCCACGCAGTTCCTTTCTATGCTACCACATTTTGCTCATTCATCAGGACCATACGGTGGGTTTTGAATGACTTTGATAAGAAACTAAAAAAAAAAGCTTTACTTTGTTGAAGGAACGCGGTACGTCGGTCCTATGAATGTGTTCACTCACCTTGGACGCTCAAAAAGCATTCCTTCATCCTCGTGCGTCGTTAGCCCAGCTCAAATATACAACCCTTTTTCACAAGGTGGATCGTATATTTTTTACGGGGAACTCACATAAGCATGTATTTTATTTGCTTACATTTTTAAAAAGAATTAAGTACAGGTGTGCAGCTTGAATAAAAGTCGGTTGTGCGTCATCTAAACGGGCTTGTATATACAGTATTTGAAAGCTAAACTTTCT